AGTGGTTAACTTAACAGATAGATTTTTAACAGTAGAAAGTAACAGGCTGGCTTAACTACCATAAGTTATTTTTTTATCTGTGTCTCAGTCATCAACTTTAGGCAAGAGAAAACGTGTTTACAAATGAGAGACTTCAAACAGTGAGTTGCGTATGGAGCCTCCTTAGCACCCTCTACAAGTGAACTGAAATCGTATACCTGAGTGGAGTTAGATAGTTGGTTTTTCCACGGCTCCTCTGCGCTGCTGGTCAGGTTTGTGCGGTTATGAGGTAGAGAGAGTGCGTTTTGCTGCAGGTAAGGCACGTTTCCATTACTTCCACTTTCTGTTATGTGATTATTGCCTATCAAAATAGTGTCTGTACTACCCAGCGTTCTTGCTGTGCTGCAGGGAATGGGGCCTGCTGGAAAGGGTCCATTAGCCATAGGCTGCCCAGGGCAGGCGGGACGGATTCCACGCTGAGCGACGTTAGGCACTCTGGTTAGAGCAACCTGCGGCTGCTGACCAGAGACAGAGTTTGTAGGCAGTGATGAATCAGCTGTTGGCCCATTAGGAATTCCAGTAGATCGTACCTGTGCAACTCCTGTTTGTCTCATCTAATGGGATGTGAACAAAGCACAAGAATGTTAGCTGCAGAATTGAAAAAAATAAAGCATACGAGGTTTGCGTCATTTATTGCACTGGCCAATTCCAATTTTATACTGATTTTAAGATCTTCACAGTTGCTTTTGAGAAATAAGGTGACTCTCATGCTCACAAATGCGCTGAGTGAATTGTAAGGTAAAGCTATCGGCACACTCTTCGGCTCTTAAGTTTGAGTGTTAGTGTTTTGCTGCTAAAGATGGACACTAAGAGAGAGACAGAAGTAAACAGTGAGAGGTGGAGAGGTATGCTGTACTATACTCTTCAAGAAAGACTGCTTTTAGATGTGTCCACTCACTTTAGTTTGAAAGTGTGGCTTGAAAACTTTCACGTTATCTGCTAACCCTAAAATAAAACACAGCTAAACTCGTTATGTTTCAACCAGTAAACCACAATTACATTTTATATATACATATATATAAAAAGACTTAATGGAATGTATTAAAGGGAATGAGAATTCTGCACACTAGAAATTCTTCAGAATTTAAGCAACACAGCAGACTCCATTACTGACAAAGGTTTTGCAGAAGAGAAAAATATTTTTGTTCTCACCTGCTGGTGTTGCTGCATCAAGACAAACTGACTCTCCAGCTGTTCCAGCATAAGTTTCTGTGCTGGATTTAGATTATTTCGGTTTGCACGCAGCTGTTCCAAGTGCTGAAACAACAGCACTACAGTTAGGAATCATTAAAATTGCATGTGCTTTTTAATAACTTTATTGCATAAAATACTAAAAATTATCCATGAAGACAAGGCTTGTAAAGCTGAAAACATTATTTGAGACTTCTGTTGCAGACTCAAACATCTTTAAATACACTATTCTGTAAGCAAATCTTATTAGTAGTTGCTAAAACTAAATAGACTTTCTAAATTATTCAAGTGTATAAATATTATATTGTATCAATATAGTATATAATACATACATTATACATTAATATTATCACTACATTCAAATAAGATCATACAGAATTCTTATTATCATTATGTATTTTTTACCACGTTTTTGTTCTGTGATATTCTTTATTAATACTGTTCAGTATGAAGCGAATTCAGCCTACAGTCACACATGAAAACTTCCCCAGAAAATATAAAAGCACAAACCCAGAAAACTATACAACTTAATTGCACATAGAACTACCTGAAGTTATGATACTGAACTCATTTGCAACAGATAAATTTAATATCTACTATCAGAAATCTGATCTTTGTATTCATTTTAAACTACTCAGCACACACCATCATTCTATCAGCAAGTTCGCTGCTGTTCAGTGGTATGACAAAAATGCTGAAATTGTGGAACACAAAAGCATGACCTGAGAAAGAAGGGGGTGGTGTGTGAAGAGAAGGGCAAAAGTTGTGCTATGCAAAGGGTGACATACAGATACATTTTTCTTGTTATTAAATACTAAGTTACTTCACATAACTAAATACTTTAAAAAAAAACACCCAACAACCTAAAAAAACCCAATAAACCAACCAATCCAAGCCCCACCAAAACAAAAGGCAAATCAAGCTTCCTTTAGTTCCTTTCCAGTCTGCATGTATTATTTTTCTACATCCTTCTCATCTCCTTTGCTTTGATTATGCTGTATTAATGCATAAATGGAGTATGAGTATTAAATAAAGTGTAGTTCATTCTGCTTTGAACAATTTGCAAGTTATGAACTAAAAAAACCCAAACAAACCAGCATTGTCTGAAAATGTTTTTGAAGATGGTTCATGATAAACTCTCTGGATTAACGGTAGTTTGCATCCTGAAGTCCCTCTGTGGGGGAATGCAGTGAATAAGACTAATCTCTCTCTCTCCCGCTCCACATATACAACATGGACAGTGGGATCAAGCTCAGCAAGTTCACTGATGATACCGAGCTGTGTGATGCGGTCAACACGCTGGAGGGAAGGGATGCCATCCAGAGGGACCGGGACAGGCTGGAGAGGTGGGCCTGTGCAAACCTACTGAAGCTCAACAAGGTCAAGTGCAAGGTCCTGCACCTGGGTTGGGCCAAGCCCAAGCACAAGTACAGGCTGGAAGACCAGTGGATTGAGAGCAGTCCTGGGGATAAGGATTTGGGAGTGTTGGTATATAAAAAACTGAATACTAGTCAACTGTGTGTGCTCACAGCCCAGAAGGCCAGTCATATTCTGAGCTGCATCAAAGAAGCATGGCAGGCAGGTCAAGGGAGGCAATTCTGCCCCTCTGCTCCACTGGTGAAACCCCACCTGGAGCACTGTGTCCAGCTCTGGAGTCCTCAGCACAAGGACACAGACCTGCTGGAGTAGGGCCAGAGGAGGCCACAAAGACGATCAGGTGCTGGAGCACCTCCCCTGTGAGGACAGGCTGAGAGAGTTGCAGTCACTCGGCCTGGAGAAGAGAAGGCTCTGGGGCCTTCCAGCAGCCTTCAGTATTAAAGGAAAAGCACTACAGTGTCTGCAGGAAAGAAGGGGAAGGACTCTTGGTCAGAGAGTCCACTGATAGGACAAGGGCTAACAGCCTGATCTTTAAGGCCCCTCTCAAATTTTCTATGATTCTATGACACATATGTATATGTACACATATGTAGGTATACATATGTACGCATATATATGATTATGAGATGAAAATAGGGTCTTCGTGAGAGTGCATGCACCAGGTATAGATAAGAAAAAATCAGTGCTTTTTCGTTGTTATTTTGCTTTTTAAAATATGTCTAAAGAGGGTAACAGGAATCAGAAAGACTGACTTAGCACATATGTCACCAGAGGCAAGTCTCCAGTGCTATGGGTGCTCCAGTGCTTTATGGCCAGCACTGTTCTTGCTGCCTGCCAGTTCTGTGAAATGAACATCCATCCTTCCTCCACTGGCATGTTGCAGCCCTGGCAGCTACTCTGTGGCCATAGCCCTTTCTCTTCTGCTTTTGTTAGCTGAGCCATTTGGGGTGTGTTACGCGCCATATCCATCCAGCCTCTGAGCTGCCGGATTTTAACGGCTGACTCTAGAATTTGTGATAAAACTTTTATTCATTCTCCTCTTGCATCATATCTTTTTGGTTTTCCTATTAATACACACTGGAATCTTGACAAGCTATTGCCAGCAAATCCAGAATACGATACTTAGACAGGGGAGCCTATTTAGATATTTAGATACTACTTAGAGGATGAAGCTCAATCTGGAAAAAGGCAAAGTGGAAAAGGGGAAAATGTAGTAGGATATAAAATAAGCAGAGAGAAATAATGAGAATGCATGGAGAGAGAGAGATACACAAGAACTATTGGGGGAAATAATGAGAATGCATGGAGAGAGAGAGATACACAAGAACTATTAGGGAGGACCCAAAGGGGTAGGGAGGTGGTGGGAAGAGAGAGGGAAGAGACGGGAAAATTATGCAGCATAATAAAGCCAATATTGTTCTAACAGAAACAGCTGAAGAACTATATTGGAGTTGAGTGGAACACTACTTGGTCAATCAGAATGCATTCTGCCTTTGCACTGTGTTCCTTTCTATTTTTCCTTGCATCCAAAGCAGCATCTGTGATACACTGCTAAGTTTCCAGCTAGGCCTGATTTTTAACAAATGACATTCCTGATGAAGCTCACTGCAAGTCCTAATGAACTGAACGGACAACAAAACATCATAACATAAAAGATTTGAAACAAGATTTCAGAAATAAAATCTAGCATCGCATATATTATGCTTTATATACTATAGTATATGACATAAATTACAGAAAAGCAGTATCAGATTTCATTTGAGTAATTTCATTCTGTAGAATGTGCATGTTTGTTTATGCAACTTGATACAAAAAGCTACCTCAGAGGAAAAAGAGGCTATTACAATACTTCTACACCTCCTTCAATATCCCTCATATAACAGCAAGTAGCAAAACTCACTTGGCATACAAGTGTGGTAATTTGCATGTGTATCTTTAAAACATCATCAGTAAAAAAGAATTACTGTTATGTTCTTATTTGTATGAATGCTGTAATTTATAAATCCAAGTGTTCAGTTCCTTCTAGAGATAATTTATTCTACTACAGAACTAATCTCACATAAAGAAGCCATAAATACTAGCACAACTTGAATTACACTGTGGGAATTATTTGGGAAGTATTTCAAATTGAATTTCAGAAACGTGGACCTGGAAAACGTCCCAGTTTTATTTACTTAAAAGGAACAAAGAAAAAAAACAAAAAAACACCCCAAATATCAAAGCTTCTGAAGATCTTCAATAAACCTACCTGTAATTTCTGTGGTGTCAAGCACCAAGAATGAATTTGTTGCTGTACAGGAGGATGTGACACTGTATGGCCACTGCTCCAAACATCTGAAGTATTCTGAGAGAAAACATTACATTAAAATGCATGTATCAAAGGGTCAACATAATGTCTTCTACTACCTAGATTTTATGTAGCTTATGAAAGAACTAGTCACTGTTTCAAGAATAACAACATAAATAAAGAATATACTAAAACATGCCAAGTCTCATTCTACAAGCCCCATACAGTACTAGAGTAGCCAGCGGAAATAGTTAAATGGTATCTAATATTATAACAAGAAACATCAAACCGACTGATGTCATTAACTTAAATGTATGCTACTTTTAAAACTGAATACTTTATCTACTGTAACACTATTACATGATGATGAAACATTTGAATTCTAAATATAAGCAAAGGCAATAGACAGGATGACATGATTGTCTCTTATCATCAGACTACGATTGTACAGCTACGACTGTAGTATAGTGCCACCAATCTGCATCGCCCTTACACGCTTCCTGTCTGAACTGTAACCTGATTAAACACATTGCTGAAAAATGTTTTGTTTAAAACTCCTAAAAACATTCCCCACCTTGATGCCAAAGGATTAAGATTCATCGCACAAATTCTGTGCATGCTGCATCATTTTAATGCATATTTCTGAATAGTTTTGGTAGGGGGCTCTTTAGTTCATCAGAATATATATACCTTTGTTGGACTAGATGTTCTTTTCCGCTTGGCAGGACTGGTCAGGTCATCTACTTGGCTAGAAGGAATCATGTGTAGTGGCAAGGATTGCTGTGAAATTGGTGTTTGAGTGAGGCCTAGTACAGGTTCAGTATTTGGATGATGAGGTTTACAAGCCTAAGAATCACAGAAGGAAGACAAAAATATGGTTCTATATATTCTTAATTATTTCCTTTAAATTATATATTTTAATAGCCCACATACATTACAAGGGCTGAGCAGATATTCTGAAGCTGATTTCAGTAACTGAAAAATCAGTTTCCATATGGTCATCAATGGAGGAATGTGTACCTTTCATGGGATTATTAAACCACTGCAGCATTTCTATTTAAGATGAGATCTTTTAAAATCATGAAAATCCACAAAGGTTCTAAATTGGTACCCCCATATTTCTCTCCCATGATTATAGGGAGCGTCTTGATCTAGTATCCCTTCGCAAACAAATCAAAGGCTTTTTATTATCAAAAGCCAGTCCTGTGCTCAAGAAAATAAGCTTGACCACTACCGATTGTAAAGAACCCTTAAAGCTGGGCACCTGCAGAACATAACCCAACTTCTCACCTGCTGTGCTGTGTTCATGGCACCCTGCCTGGAGGTAAGCTCTGCGGGGATTGGTAGGCTCCATGCCTCCTCAATACTAGGAAGTAATTTAGTTTTATTCTGTAGACTACCTTGTGGAAGGTTACACAACTGAGCCTAGGAAAAATTATGTAAAAAGCAAATTTAACACAAGCCTACTTTAGTAAGAGCAAGTCCATGAAATCTTCCTAAATGCTGTAGCTAATTAAGTCTTAAAGAGAGGATAGATTTAAAATTTGGGGTTTTAGAAAGGTGCTAAGTATAAAGAGGGTAACCAGAATATAAACCTTTGTGAGAATCAGAACAAAGATGAGCTCTGGATTCAGAGGTCTCATAATTCCTTTTTTCTGAAATTGCAAACAAGAGTGAAAGATAGTGTGTGCATTCTCTCTCTACGTTATGAGAACTTAAAAATGTAGACAATACAAAGAAAAAAGCAAAATGATGTAAAACAGTATGCTTTGATTAAATGTGCAAAATAGGGTTTATAAGGAATTAAGTTCCACTTAAAAATGAAGAAATAAAATATTACAGGCTATGATATGCTTACAATACACATGAAAACAGGTTATACACACTACAAACAATTTCAAGTTTAACTTGTGTGTTATTTCTCCCCTCCCCTCTGCTGTGCATTTGGAAGAGTATTTCCCCGCTTCTTAAAACATTAGTTTTACCTGTAAATACTTTATCCGTGCTGCAAGTGCAGAGGTATTACTACAATTTTTGCTCCTAGTTGCATTTAAGTAGCATTTAATGGCATCCTGAGGCTGGTTGCAGGACTCATAGAGCGTGCCTAGGTCCATCCAGGCTGCAGCATGGCCATGGTCCAATTGTACAGCACAGATATAGGCCTGTAAAGCATCCATAGGCTGATTTTGCTGTTGATACAGCACACTGAATAGAAAGATTAGTGAAGTTGAGAATTAATAACAGAGGCAAAATACAAACAGGTCAAATATACACATCCCTCTCAAAGCCAAACTTTGCCATTATATAAACCACAGTAAACAAGCACAAACCACACATACAATCTTAACATGTAAAGCTCACATACACTGCATATTCGGTATTCCAAAAATTGGAAAAGCAGATATGAATTTATGAATTAAATTTCTAATCAGACAAGTCTGACACAATGCAGGTATAAACAAAAAACCTTTATGGTCCCCCTGAGAGCACAAAAGAGTTAAAAAGCAGATATTTTTTATTTATATATATTAGTACTGAATTATATCACTGTATTCACCCTGTATCATTCTTACCCTATAGAACACCATGTATCTGCACTTGCTTCTGATTTATCAATAGATTGCCTATAAGATATAAAGGCATCCTGAACTTTCCCAATACTTGAATAGCACCTGGGAGAAGAAAAAAAGAACTCTGGTAATATTTACAGAAGATAATCATTGAGGAAAGCTTACCAAGACTGATCTGATAAACATTAAATCATGCAAATACATACTCATCTAGATGAATCCAAAACATGTGCTGTTGCTGAATGCCAAGTATAAGCAGACTCAAACATCATAACATACATTACTAATTATTTATTTGAAAAGTACACCAAAACTGCTTAAGCCCTAGCTTACCGCATTTATAAGGAAAACATATTTTAAAGACTTAAATTTCTTTCGTTTGTAATAACTTCAATAAGAACAATATTTATTTACAGATAGCATTATAAAGAAACAATTGCATTACCCATTTCATCAAACAAATGGCTATGAAATTTCATGTTCTAGAAGAAGTTTTTCAGAATTATTAAGAGATACTGACCAACTCTATCAGGGTGGTTCCTGATTGTCTGAGAAGCTTTTTATGTGCATTTCTCCCAGTAATGAACGACAACAGCTAGTTTTACTGCATATACATATAGCACAAAATTCTGTAAAAAATCTTGCTGTTCTGGATTTTTTTCACAATTTACTTGAAAATTTTTCACAAACAAATTCAAAAGTATTCTAGCATTATAAGCAGAAATATCTAAAGTCTAAAAAGAACTATAATTATACTAATACCTACCTTTTTAAAATTAAAAGCTTCCAATACATAGAATATTAAAATACATATATTCAGTTACTAGTTTAATCTACAACAGCTGTTTTTATATAGTTTGCAATAAGTTTCCCTGTTGGAAAAAGATCTGACAACTTTCAAAACACATCAATAGCAACATAAAATTTATTCTAGTAAAAAATAAAAATGAGGGAGAACAGTACAGCCAAAGGTTTTTCAAACATGCTACACTATTTCATGTATTCTACGAAAAGAATACAATAATATCTAGCAGCACTTTGCTTAAAATCATCCAGTAAGTCTGAACACAACGTTTCAGAAGATCACTTTAATCACAATCTAACCCAGATTCCAAGAGACAGATTCAATCTATCTGCTTATTGGATACACGACGACTGATTAGGACAGACCTAACATTAAGCACCCAACAAATCTTGAAAGAGGGTGGTGGGTTTTTTTCCTGTGAGCAAAGAGAGGAGGGTGGTATACTTTTGAAAGGTAGTTTTAAATTAACTGCTATCCAGTTTGGACAACCAGCAGAGGAAGGAATAACACACTAGGGAATACATGAAGAGGGAAAAAGGGGAAGAGCAAACACACAACCCTGTAATCCTGTTTTTCCGCTTCTCCTGCCAGCATATGGACTGGAACAATGGGACACAGATACATTTTTGCTCTAGTCCCACCTGTAATAAGAGGTTGCTACCAGTAGATTCCTACCTCCCCCCTCTCATTTCCTGCGTCTCTCCCCCTTGTTTGTACAGTCCCAGGTTTCACTCTAACTGCAGGAAAGCTGCGGCACAGTCGGAGCAGGAGTGGGGCAGCTGAGCACACGTATTTCATGAAGCCCTGGCCCTGTCCTGCTGCTGTGTAGCAACTTAACTACCTCAAGGCACATGGAACAGGACTACTGAAGAAAAACAGATTTCAGCTCAGTGGATGATAAAATAAGCCAGATGATCCCTGATTCCTCTTTCCTTCTCCCTCCACATCTGCTGTAGGCCTTTGACCTTCACATTTGGTGCTGGTGTTCCCCTCTTAGCCTGCAGACAGCTGGACAAAGAGCCCCTGTCTTACAGAAACAGCTGGAAGAATACAATTAGGATGCCCAATCCAGAAGTACATTCCAGTTTTATGTGGCCAGAACCTCCAAGACAGTCAGCTAGAAGATAGCGAGGTTAGGATATTAATTTTATTTTTGTGTTATTCCTTTCTAATGTATTTCTTAACAGAATTGACCCATTCACACATGGACCTGAATTGCCCTCAAACCTGGTTATTTCAACAGATGGTTTATGTACAGTACTTTGTTTTCTTAAAAAGGAGACCAAGAAAACTCATCAAATTTGTATGATTTACAGTTTGGAGTAAGTTAATTTTCAAATAAATAACACTGTCTGATAGTACAGACTTAATACAAAACTTAAATGGGTATCAGAACAGCTCATTCTACGTATCTTGGCCTAATATTTAGTTGCAATATATGCTGTTTATAAATGGATGTATATCTGTGAAAACATTTGTATTTTAGGGCAAAAAATGATTGAGATTAGAAGGGAGATTTTGAGAAAATAAAGAGATAAATAATTGTGAAAAAGGTATGAAGAAGCGTAACAACATTTACAGAGCTTCTACCAAAAAAGAGAGAACAGAGGATGTAGTAGCAGGAGAAGAAACAAGTAACACCAGGCAGAGCAGACTCAGATTACTGTAAATGTGTCGACTGAATAATAACTATAAAAAAAAGTAGCACCACTTGGGTAACTACTTCATTTCATCTTCTAACCTATATTCATGCCAAATCTATTAGAGCACCCTGTCTTTTAATATACTTTCTAGAAAACTAGACTTCAGTAGACACATACATCCTTTCCCTTCATTTTTCCTCTGAAAGTATTAAGAAGAAAAACAACATATGATATTCACAATGAGTATCCTCAAAAAATTTACAAGTATAGTTACAGTGTCTATAAAATCATTTCTCACCTTCCAAGGAAATACCAGGATTGACCAGAATTTGGATCTGCTTCTAGAGATTTCTGGAGATACTGTATAGCATAGCTTTCCTTGGTTGCCTTGTCTCCAAGCTGATCCACGGTGTGATGCATCCAGCCTATAAAAAGAATTCATAAATGGCAGTAGTGAAATTCCTTAAGACCATTTAACAACTTGGCACAGCAGGATATTCATAACATTTGTTTCTCTTTAAAAATAGGAATATCCAACAATAATATCACTTACATATAGCACTACGAATGCAGCTTGTAAAACTTAAAAAGTTCTATACTAAGATTACAAGATAACAGGACCCTAAGTCAAAATTACCTTCAGATGCTGCTAAAGTGGGGGTTTTGGGTTTAAATAATTTTCTACAAGGTTTGTAGCACGATTATGAACTGCTTAATTTTCTAATATAAAAAGTTAATTCAAAAAAGTTAACTCTTTCCTCCCCTGAACACAGATACTTTCCCTATCATTGTGAAAAACGTCACCACTCTCCCTGTCATGCACAGTAGTTCTTTGTATATTATGTTCGCTTTACTCCTTTCCTTCTAAATCCTTGTGCTTATCCCATACCTACATTTGAACAATTCCCCAACACAACATTGGTATGAGCTTTTGTATCTCCACTTAAATCTTTCTTATATTGTCATTTTATCTTCACTGCTAAAATACTCTTTCTGTTCACCTTGAGAAATGCAATCACCTCTCCTCTACGTAAAAATTCTGCTGAAAAGATAATTTTATTTCCTCATCTAACCATACAACATATTCTTTCAAATGCCTTTTTTTCTTTCATTACAGTAGACAAATTGTTCACCCCCATTTTTAAGAACTCCCACAATCCACACTCCTGTAGCACCTTTCACATGCTATTAAAAAGCATCTCTGCCTTAGCATTGAAGAAAAGCTTGGTTACCATTTCAAATAAAGCACCTTCATCATCTTCTGAAGCTGCTCCTCATCTGTCTCTATGCTTAGATGAAATTCCTTTACGCAGCCACAAAATCATCTCACTGCCATTAATACTAATAACGCTTGTTCTTCAGACCCTTCAGCTTCGTTGCCCCTCTCTGGACACATTCCAGCACCTCAATGTCCTTCTTGTAGTGAGGGGCCCAAAACCAAACAAAGGATTTGAGGTGCGGCCTCACCACTGCTGAGTACAGGGGGGATGATCCCTTCCCTACTCCCTGTGGCCCCACATTCCTGATCCAGGCCAGAATGCTGGTTGCCTGCTTGGCCACCTGGGCACACTGCTGGCCCATGTTCAGCCGGCTGTCAACCAGCAGCCCCAGGTCCTGTTCCACAGGGCATCTTTCCAGCCACTCTTCCCCAAGAATGTAGTGCTGCCTGGGGTTGTTGTGACCCAAGTCCAGGATCTGGCACTTGGCCTCGTTGACCCTCACAACTGGCCTCAGCCCACCGATCCTTCTGTAGAGCCTCCTGACCCTCAAGCAGACCAACACTCCTGCCTAGCTTTGTGTCATCTGTAAAATTACTGAGGGTGCACTTGATCCCCTAATCCAGATCACTAATAAAGATGTTAAACAGAACCAATCCCAATACTGAGCCCTGGGGAACACCACTGGTGACCAGCCACCAGCTGGATTTAACTCCATTCACCACCACTCCTGGGGCCCAGCCATCCAGCTGGTTTTGTACTCAGCAAAGAGCAAATTCTATGGGCTTAGTCTGCCAACAGTCACAGTGATACTTTTGCAAATGGAAGATAGACTTCTGAGCTTTAAAAAAAAGCAATCTAAAAGAAAATCATATCTACTGAACAACATTTGCTTCAGGTGTTTTAAGAAGTATCACTTGGAAACTATGATCTGAAGTAGCAGATTGAATATTTCATTGACTGCAAAGAAATGTCAGGTTACAAGCACTGTAACAGTGCTGAGAAAAAAAGAAAAAAAAGAAAGAGTACTTTATCTTGTCTGAAGATGGATCAAGTCAAAATTCTATCCATCAGAGAAAAAGGAGGGGAGGGAATACATCAATTTTTCTTGAGACATGTAACATATACAACATTCTCTCATGGACTTCATAAACCAGCAATGATTTTGAGTCAAGTCCAAAGTCACTGAAGTTCTGAATCACACAGAAAATATTCATGCTTTAGGAAAAAAAGGCTTATGTGAGGGTGGCTAACATAATTGACCTGTGTAACTGTATATTAAAGATAAATCTATTGGGTCCAATGCCAGGCAAAGTCTGAGATAAAGGTAATAGTTCAGGGATTATAAAGGTTAAAAAAAAGACATTAAACAATTTCCTGAATCTTTGGGAACGTTGCGTGGTGATGCCTATTTTCTGTTTCATCAGAACTTTGCTGAATTGGAAGATAACATGTTGTATCTTCCGGAGATCTTTACTGAGGTTCAGTGAAAAAAAAGAAAGAATCTATTTCTAGGAGACAGAAATGAGAACTAACAATCCTTATCTAGTTTCACTGCTGAAACAAGGGTTAGTTCCTGATTTTATCTTCTATGCAGGGAGATGAAAAAGGCAGAAAGCAAGAGAGAGGGTGAGGGAAAACAAACAATAGTTTTCTACTTGAATAGCACGGGTAAAGAAAACTGGATCTCTTATGCATAAAATTAGGAACGTACAGAAAAAAGGTGATGGAAAAACCCTGGTAAGCTGTGCAGTTTCCCATTTGCAAGACCCAGCTCAAACTCTCAACTCATATTGACCACTCCTGGGACATTTTTAACACAATAAACAAAGCCACAGATTTTTGTCCACATCTCTGCTACGAGGACAGGCTGCAGGAGCTGAGACTGTTCAGTGTGGAAAAGAGAAGATTTCAGGGGGACCTAATAGCTGCCTTCCAGTACCTGAAGGGAACCTACAGGACGGCTGGAGAGGGACTCTTTACAAGAGTGTCCACTGGGGAAATGGGTTTAAATTGAAGGAGAATAGATTTAGATTGGACCTTAGGAAGAAATTCTTCAGTACGAGAGTGGCAAGACTTTGGAATAAATTGCCCAGAGATGTTGTGGCTGCCCCCTCCCTGGAGGTGTTCAAGGCCAAGTCGGATGGAGCCTTGAGCAGCCTGATCTAGTTGAGAGGCATCCCTGCCCATGACAGGGAGGTTGGACTAGATGATCTCTAAGGTCCCTTCCAGGCTAGGCCATTCTATGATTCTGTGATTCATAAAAATACTCTTTCACAGGTCTTTAGAATCCACAACTTCTAACAAATCCCCCCACTGCCTCAAAAAGAGGATGTGCTAGCTTAGCTCATGCTGTGGGCTTTTTCAATGTGTATCAATCACTCTCTTACTGAACTTTTGGCAATTGCTGTTTCCCCAATAAACATCATCATCTCAGTCTCTGAAGAGACTCTTCCCTCACTTTAGCATCTCATGATGTCTTATCCAATTACATGGACATCACCTAGCAATGCCCCTAGCCAAAAATCACTTGAGAACACCTAAGCACATGCTTACATTGTTCTTAGAGTCTTCTTTATGCAACTGCTGAGTACAACTAGAGAAAAAAATATCGGAACAGATTTGATCTTCGTTAATTTAACGTCATGTTAGGCAAAGCTATAAAAAGAATTTTCTGGAAAGGAAATGAAAAGGCACAAGAGAAGAAACAAAGTGCTCTTATCCTGCAGTACAGATCTTACTGTTATGTCTACCTAAACCAGTCAGCATGCATCAGCTCAAATGTATTTTATCTGAGAATCACGGGCTCCTCCTCCACAGTGATCTGCTTTGGAAACCAGCAACAAGAACATAGACTTTAATAGTCTTCTCACAAGACATCTAAACTTGCCTAAATTTCAGCTCTGGCTCAATAAACATTTACTAACTAAGGAAAACAAACAAAAGGTATTTTCATGCCAAGACAATTTTTCTTTTGGAGTAAAGAGAGTTCGACATAGAAATACAAATACATTTTCATCAGACTTTGCCAGTAGCATTCTGGCAGATGGCAGGTATTTACTATTGTTTCTTCTAAGCAGCAGTGCACCACCTGGACTATGCTTCCCAAGCAGTTTTTTTTATTTCCAGCCGACAGAGACTAAATCTGCAATACACACCATACCCTGATAAGTACCACTGTTAACAAAAAGGAAAAGAAACAGTACTATTCCTTGAAAGTTCATTTAAGACCACTCTATCGCTTTTCTCCACATAAAAGCTCCCCACACTACAAATCTAGGTGATCTGTGTTTATTGAATAAAGGGAGTTAATCCAGCATTTAGACAACAGACAATTCTCCAAGTCATTACTCTTGCTGCTAGCAGAGACCTGTGGTAGGATTTTATAAACAGAATCACACGCCTTTGCTTCTAGTGTGGCAACGTAGATCAGACAGAGTTGAAAAAGCAGTGGCTATTTTTGGAAGTCTGTCTTTGATTATAGGTATAGCCTTTTTGGGTGCAATTGGTGACAATCTATAGTTCGTGAGATAACTATGTCAAAAACAACTGAATACTGAAATATAAGCAAGACCACCATATGACAGCAAAAAAATCAGTACCTAGAGCGCTGCAGCGAACTCCTCCAGCAGTTTCATTTTGCAATTTCACAAAGAATCAAAAGCTAAACAATTTGACCCACTCCAAATCACACAACCTGCGTTACTGTGGCCATAACTTAGTGCTAGTTACTAATTTGTATTAAATGACCACAATGTGAAGAAAAAAAAAAGAAAAATGGGCAGATGCAGGCTAAATTAATATTTAGAATAATAAATTAGATGAAGAACATGGAGAAAGTGAATGAAAAAGTTTTGCACTGGGTTGAACAATTTTAACAAAATATTCTGGAAATACTTTTATGAGACAAAAGTAATTTAGAGAACAAAAGTAATTTATTCTACATACCCAACAGAAATTTTTGGTCTAAAAATGATTTATCAGCTTTTTGTAAATATGAAAGATGACTATTTTTTTAAAGATAACACTTCTCTTTTTATGTGGTTTCTTTTATGGAACCTGATGAGAAAACTTCTTAGTTACAGAGACAGGTTTTCATTACACACTATAATTAAAGAGAAAGAAAAGGTAAATTTTTCATTTGCCATGTTCTTCTACTCTGCAACAGAGAAGAGTGTTTCCTGCATTCGGCCTGGCTATTCAAGAGATATTTTTCAGAGGCAGAACCGAGAACACAGAATTCTAACTGCTGCACTCATTCTCTGAAAGACCACCCCCTCACTGCCCAAAACATGTTAAGGCATATACTGTAGCAAGTCTAAGAGCTTTATAATTTTGCAAGTTTAATTAAAATCTTTCCCTGCTCTCTTATTTTCTTAAATATCTACTGTTATGCATCCTATTTTGGGTGAAAAACTCCCGTATCATGCTCAGTGCCTAGGACTCACTTTGGAAACGCAGCCTTAAAAAACACTGCTGAAGGCAAAGATGGAAAAAAGAAATACACAGGAAAACAGAAGTTAATTTTACATACCTAACTGCTGTAAGACAGTTGCTTTTACTTGTGCAGGAAGGTTTTCGATCTGCAAAAGCTGTTCATAAGCTTCCTTTGCAGAGTGATACTTTCTCTGCAAAAGGAAAAAAGTAAATGGATTAATCATAAAGCTTACAAGAGATCACCAATAGCAATGATTTCACAGCACTGACAGCACACAAACACACTGACAAAAAAATTCTGGAATTTATTTTTTTTTTTTTGCATACAGTGCATATGAAAGCTTTAATGAGTGACATATATATGGTAAGAGAGGAACTTTCATAAATATTTATTATAAATTGAGTACTTAAAATAATAGAAATTTGTAGATTATCAGATTTGGTCAATTCCTCACACATGCATTATGATTCTTACACTAAAAAGAATATACTGCTTTCAAGGGGGATCCCTGAACAGGAGTCTACATCTGAAAAAGCCCTACACAAATGCCTCCCAGGAAACTTATAACAGAAATTGAGATCATTGGTAATTGGTGGCTAGTATAATTTTGCTTCTCTCCTTCCTTCAGTATATTTCAACTGCCTCTTCAACATGTTTGTTCTCCTGGTAAGAGTTCCACCATATCTAAATTAAAAAATAACAATGGATTCTGCCTAGAGGATGAAGGTATGTCATATTATTTGCTATATAGTGTAAATGTCCTTAAAGCATGGAAATACTAATTTCTTAATTCTCTATATGAACCGGGAAACACAGAAAAGAGATTTCTAGGTTAGGATCATGGCCTTTACTTGCTTCTGGAAAAGTCTGAGCTGTTTTGTATATATTAAAGGTTAAGACTTCTCAGTGGATAATTTTTCTTTTGAAATAATGTCAGCATTTATCTTTGTGTTACATTCACTGTTAAACACTTATAGATAGGGTATTTTAAAAGCTTAATTCCTCTGTTCCTCCTCTCCCACAAAAGTCTAGAAGACATAAATTCTGAGATCTGTTAGTAGGAGTACTTTTTTTTTACTTTCTAAAAATTCTATGCAATTTTTAAAGAAAAATATGCTCTTATAAAATTCAGTATAAGACTTCATTCTGGCAGACAGATGAAGAGCATACTAAAATAAATAGGGTCACCTAAATGGAAACAATCATAACTTAGTTACATTTGTTTTATGCAAAGAGTACACAGTACTGAACACTGGTATTTTAAAAGGGACAACTTGGAAGAAGACTCTAAACAATCTAAATACCTACGAAAAGTTAAAAGTGTTATTAGGTTCTTGAGATCTCACAATCACAAAAGACAACTCTGTTGATTTTAAAACCTTATTCTAGTCAGGAAGAAAAATTAAAGCAACAATTACATACTTTCAAATGGAACAAGGGGAAGTTGGTAGAAAAGATTTTTAATTGGTGTTCATGAAATGCAGACAACTGGTAAGAAAACAAATAATATAAATAAATAAAATATCCATGTCCAGCAAAATAAAAACAATCAGGAAAAAATTTAAATTTAGCATTGGGAACAAAATTTGTAGTTTATGACTATGAAGGATAAGCAAATGAACAGAAGTTCACTGTACAGCATGACAGCAGAGGCAGCAATCCAGATGTTACACAGGTAAATATTAGTCCCTAACAGTCACATTTGGAAGGAGGATGCAGAAAGGCCTATTAAAATAGGGCACATTTTCCAGATCTAGAATACTTTTTTACTTTTGTTACTCCATTATTTTAGAAATCTGTCTACATATTTGCCTTAAAAATATTACGGAAAACTGTCATAATCTTTACATCTGGTTTTATGTATATATGTTAATTTCAAAGATCGGAAGTCCTTGACATTTGGCTGCATCATGAATAGTCTTAAAAACGGGGAGGAGAACTCAACCCAACATCTTTCTTTAGCCACTGTGTAAGTTACCACACCGAATAGCTCTAGCTCACACTGTCACGCAGGAAATAATAGAAGCTACCATTAAAAACCATGAAAAAACACTGCTAGCTCTTATCAGTACCCGGCTATTCTCATGTTCAGAGGCTAGCAACCCGTCATCTAAACTCCATTACTGTGAAGGCACATAACTAAAGAATGAATTAACTTTTTCATTAAGTATCACAGGTAGATAATTTTCAAATATCTGGAGGGGTTCAGAAGACTGTGTAGCATTGTGTCCTTTAGAAGAATTCGAACAACCAGCCTGCCTCCAAAAACATCTCTTCATTGTGTCAGAGGTAATATCCAGAATGAAGCGAGACCCTTTGTGGTTCTAAGTTCCTCAAATTCCAGAAAAGAAGACATCCCTCCCAACCAGAACTGAGAGACCAAGTGCAATAACAGAATGCACTGAAACTTTTTTTGCTCTGACTTGCGATAAAGGTAGGTTCCCGCTGCCTAGGATTGTCAGAAAGCACAAGGAACATTGTAACATCGGTCACACAGTTATAGAAGGCACCTGGCATGGTGACCTGACCTGTCCGACTTCCTATTTTTACTCTTGCAGATCAAAAGAACTAAAGTGTCGAGGATGCCTTGTTACACAGATGTGTTGGATGTGCTCCAGTGCTCAGAATGAAATCTGGATGGTGGCCAGGCAAGAACCACAACAGTTCCCTAAGTTTATTAATGCTGTTCTGGGATAGGGGATTTCGGTCTTGTCATACAGCCTGTACCAAAAGCATTCAAAAGAAAAATACCATCTTCATCGAATTTATACCTTTTATCTGTATATGAATACCTGAAGTCATCTTTCACCACACCACCAAGAGACAGCTCTTACTTTACCAAGCTACTTTTTAACTGACTGAAAATGTCTGCCATCCATTTTAATTACAACAGGTTTTGTTTTCACGTCACACCGTTTCCTCAGTCATTTAATACCTATAAATACGATAAAAGGGTATACAATCTACATTATGTGACCAGTCAGTCAAATAACAAATGGTAGCTACTTGGTTTTAGTTTACTTATATTCTGGAAGCTCAGTAAATGTTCTGTAATTTCCCAGAAGATTCATCTAAAAAAGTCTGTGGTAGGATTTGACAGAGTTAACAGCACAGCTTTATGCGCTGTTGATCTCAGATCTCATGTTTTTGTCACATATGTTCAGTTAAATTTGAAAATTTCGTGTCAAATATACTTAAAAGGCACATGGGCAATTGGCTAGACTCAAGTGTGTCTGTGTATGCATGTGTGTGTGAAATAGTGCAAATATACACAAATTGAGAAACTATCCATTTTTAAGATAGATAAAAAAACTTTTAAAATAATATACTCTAAAAAATACTTACTAAAATTAGGCTTAGGAGGTTTTTTTGAATGCAACTTGGGAGACTAATAAACATGTAAGTTTATTAAAATAGTTACTCCACTTTATAGCATGACAGTTCACACACAAAGTATCTTTAATTTAGCCAAAGCAAATAAAGCTTTTTAGTGATTTGAGACTTAAGATTAACTTTACAAAAACATCTATAACCCGAATTCCACAGGCTAATTACATCATATAACTAAAAACTCAATTCCACCTTATAAAAAGAAGTTTAAAGCTTACCTGGATTTCATATAAGTGGGCGATGTGAAACTGAACTGTAAGAGTGGGAAAATCCAAATTATTAATGAACGACACCATCAATTACAATGGGTTTTCAAGTGAGGGATAAAATAATGTTTAAAACTTATCAATGCACACCCAAGATAAATTACATTTTGAAGATACAAAAAAGGTATTTATTTACACTGATAATTTACGCTTAACAGAACTGACAGAGAATGAATATGTATCCTAACAAAGCATTAAGACTGCAAACAGATATTGCAGAAAGACAGTCCATGATTTTATTTGTATTCAGAGCCCAATATCCTTTCAATAAACTTAGCAATAAAATTTCCTTAAGCAGAGACGCAGAACACAGGTAATATTTTCTGTATTTAAGTGAGTTAGAAATAAAGACTTATTTTTCATTTTAATTCGACTGCCAAGGGACAGACTAGATGGGTTACAGAACAGAAAACATTATACACTGCCAGCTTTACGCAAGATCTTAAAATTTAGGTATGGGGGGTTTTTTTCCCCTTTTTAGGAATTGTCTCTCCCCTGTTAAACTGAACTAAAAGTGTTAATTACAGACAGTATCGTGAGCATTAACGTAAAGCATTATTCTTCATATGAATTGCACAGAATGCCATAATAGCACTAGCAGCTTTTGGAGGCAAGAAAATTGCTGGCTGGAGAAAGAAAATTAAAGTTGTTCAAAGTAAAAGCAGGGGGAAAATTATCCTCATGCTGCTCAAATCATTAAAGAAAAGGTGTGCCAGACCTCTACAGCTTGAAAACCACTAAACCTAGACTAGCAATCGACTGGGAGATAGCTAATGCTAGCCAAGATGAATGTAATCCTTATTCTGATTTGATGAAGCTAAGTTCCTTTCCAGCAAACTTCTGCCTGATGTTTCTGAGGTCTGCAAGTAAGAAAACACCCGTGTTTGAGCCAAGCTCAATTTATTTCAATTACACAGATTTCTTTCTCTCAAAGCTAGAGAATACTGTGACATGGGGCTTTATACAGGTAATTTGGAGTTACAGAGTTTCTCTTTGGGTCATAAGGGAGGGGAAAAGCTCTCTTTATGCACTGCTTTGTCCTTCACTATAAAGAAGGCATCCTAGTGCACTTCAGAAACCAGGACATAATGAAATGCATTATCTAAAATTTTAATATAATTTTTGTATTCTCTGCTAAGGGGTACATAACACACTCATTAGGTTCACTGCATCAACAAACTTCACTCTGTGCTGATGAAAGAAAAAATTCTGCTTTTATTTTGGGTGTTCATTATACATATTAAAAAAACAAACCCAAATCCTCTCTCTCAGTTTTTTTTCCTTCTCATAGCAAAACCCCTTCAGCCTCAAATTACAAAAAGAAGCCATGCCATGCAGGGGCAAGAAATTAGATGTGTCACATTAGAGACTGCCTAAATAGGAAGGAGACCTGCTTAGTACTCACAACACTCCCTGCCAGGAACAGGCTCACTGTAACGCTGGGACTCACCCAGCCTTTCAAAAGAAATACGAGGGGTAGGACTAAGGCAATCTCAAGCATTTACGTGACGGTACCCACCACCTTGGGTCAGAGCACTAGGTTCCCCTTCCGCTAAGTAGCACAGGGGAACCTGACAAGGTACCTCTCTCTCCTTCCTCTTCACTCTCCTCCTTCGGGTTCGTCAGGCATGTGCCCACGGCCACGGGGCAACAAAGCCTTCACGTGGCGCCATAACTCTACATAATTCTGGGGGCAGAGGGGACTGTGGTGGAAGGGTTAGGAAAACTGATAAAGTCAGTGAGAAATAGCATGAATTAACGTGAAATATAATAATCACGTATCTGGTAGGAAATAAAAAAAGCAAGCTCTCCTATGAAGAATTCTGCAAATAATTTAAAAAAAAAAAAAAATAGCTGTGCCTGCTCCCGGGAAGTGACATGATAAAGCTTTGGAGAAGACCCTGTAGCACAGCCAACTCCTTGGTACTGATGCAGGCAGCAGTTTTACCCATGTAAACAATCTCCCTTTCATCATCCTTGCTGACAGAGTATTTGCAATTCCATCCAGCTCTGAATTAAAGAAATAAATATATGCTTTTGAGCTGCACTGAGTAAAGTAAGTTAGACTTAGGAGAGAAATTAACACCAAAAGCAACATAAAGGTACCTTAAAAACTGAGGGAGTAGTTTCCTTCACAACTGTCTGCCTTTTAATTCTTATAAACTCCAAAACACATGAGAACATACGCTTACGCTTGCATATAATTTCACTAACTATGGATAAAAACCTGCAGGATACTCTGTAACAGCCTAAAGTATATATATTGTGTATGACAGATCACACTACGCTAAAAGATTAACATGCTCAAGTACAGACTACTATATAGGTGGCACGCAGTAAAGCAATCAAATTACATTTTGTACTTTCTCTTACTTCAACAGCGTAAGACTGATTCTAAATTTTAGATTTACAAATTCCAATGGCATTGTTGCCAGCAACAGCATCAAAATGATCACTGAAAAACGAAATATTATCAAGACATCACAAAGGTTTAAATAATTACTATAAAATGTGTGCCAGGGCACAAGCAATGTTTATGAATAAATAAACAGTCAAATAGTACTCTTCTGCCAGAACTGAAGTCTTCAGAGCAATTAATAATCAAAGTCTCAATTTTTGCTTATTCCATTTACTGAAACAGTCCACAATTCCACTGGAATGTCTGTCTCCATTGACAGATGAAGAGAGGTTTTGTAGTCTCCCTCTCTCACTACTGATTCTTTTGATTTTGAAGGATTGGTTCATTAAATATTGATGCAGTTACAAGCACAAGACTTGAAAAAAAATCTACAACAAAATAAATGGAAAAACTTATAGGCTACTTACTTTCAGCATTAGACAAAGTGCAGGGATTGCAGTCGATCAAAGCTAACTGAAAATGCTGGGGAAAAAAAAAGAAAAAGAAAAAAACCTCAAATTACTTGTTTTCCAAACAAAGTAATACCAGCACTTTGACAAATTATTAGGAATAAACCAATTTTTGTACTTGAAAATCAATACTGCATTTTACCTCGTGTCTTAAAGAAAATAATTTTCCATTCCTGTTCAGCTGTTTACTAGAGAAAAGTAATTTTTTTTTTTTTTAATTGCAGATGTAGTGCTTCTAATAGTGCAGTATGGCAACAAACATCTTCACAAAACAACTGGAATAGCATCTGGAAGAATGATTGCATCAAATGAATTGTCAAAATAGGGAGACTTGAGTTTTCCTCAAATATACAACTGGGAAAGCAGTCACACTAGCTCATAGCCTCATGGTGATTAAGTAATGAAGCTCTTAGTTTATCCGTCCAGAAAAACAGAATGCTCCTCCTACACATTGAGTGATTTGAAGTATTTTTTAAAATTTATCTCTGTCCAAATGAATATATTAAACCAGGAATTCGCAAGTTCTTACAACCTCTTCTCCAGGTATTAAGACAACTTCCATTAAACATTACAGCTTGTTTATTTTTAATCACTTTTCCTCGAGAGACACGAAAAATATCTTTTAAAATCTTTGCATTCTGAAGTTCTGAGCCAAGTATTTCACTCTTCTAGAAAAGAAGGTCACACAAGAAGAGCAGTGAAGTCTGGCTGCCAGAAAGCCTAGATGTGAGCAGTCCTTTCACAAGTGTCATGATAATTCAGTGATCACTATTTACAGTTTGAATCACAACGAAGTCTGTTCAAATAAATGGAACAGGCATACAAACTCAAGTGCCTCTGAACTTTTCCAGAAACTTCATACAAAACTCCTACACGGTGTAGAATTTGGATTGACATATTAACTGAATAGACATTAAGGCCTAAGAACATGGGAACCTAAGAGATAGCATCTAATATACTACTGTTAATCAGTAGTTATCCACAAAACAGTTTTATGTGGCTTCTAATACACAAAACATTACTGTATATTTTAATGATATTTAAAAATTATAATTTAGCTTCAGCTGTTCAGGATGCCAAACTACGTGGCATAAGGAGATCATTAGTGTAGCTGGGAAGAAAAAAAAATAAAAATCCCTATTAATAGATGAATATGCAATTCACTTTTAGCACTGCCATACTCGGAGCTACCAGATACTACATAACACTCCTCATGGTCCCAATAATACTTCAAGTATAGGAGATCTATGTAACACACATCTCAAAGATTTTTAAGAAGAGTTTAACAGACACCTAAATTTATAACTAAACATTTTTAACAGAAAAACATATTAAAAAATTGATATAGTATACATAGCAAAGCATAAAAAAAGAATTCCAATGCTCTCATGAACTCTGCTAGGCATCAGAGATGCAGCTTACCTCCTCACTGACTTCTGTCAACATGATTTGTAATACATAACAGCTTTCCAAAACTGAAATAATCTCAAGGCAAATGATAACACAAATTTATGATTTTTGATGAACATTTTAGCAATATCATTCCCAGAAGAGAGCACAGCAATCAACAAACTTAAATATACATGACTTGTAAAACAACTTTTTAACCTTAGAGCAAGCATTAAATAATAGCTATGAATATTAAATATTATCTTATTTCTCTGCCTTGCCTGTTCCTTTTTCCGCTGTTCAGTAGCCAGACAACTTAAAATCTCCCCTCACTTACATTGCAATGCAGGTTGTGTGCCTCAGAGACATCCTTTAGTCGGTTACCATAGTGATTCTACTAAGCAGGCAACTTAAAAAAAAAGACTACATAAAAATAAAATGCTCTACTTTATACTGCCTTTTGCCTCACAAAAGAAAAAAAAAAGGAATAGACCTATATTCTTTGGCCTGTATACTGAGTACACCAATCTAAATGGTAACAAATCCTTTTTGCACCAATGGGTCATCTTGCACTGTCACAAACAATTAATATGAAAAGATAAAGCAGAAAGGAACATATTTGCTCTCACCTAGCGACGCTATTATACAAAATAAGCAGATCTAAAGAGAAATGATTGACAACTGTTCTGTAGTAGCTTTTCAGAAGGGTTACTGCAGAGAGACTCACTAAGAGAAAGCAAGCAACCGTACAAGAAAATCTAGCCATTTTAATATTTAAATATGCCAGTAGTATCAGTGCTGTGCAGTAAGAAAATCAGAATATTCTCAGCAATGCCTCCCAAAAATTCAGTTCTTGCTGTATATCAGCCGACTTGTGCATTTCAAAATCCACATTACGAAATTTTGCTAAGTGTATAAACAATTTCTGCTTGCACTATTCCCTATGCTACAAACATTAAAGAAATTGATAAACAGAAGCCAGCAACTACAGCAAAATAAACCACCTGCAATAAACAATTATCACAAAGCAATACACCGAAAAACCAGAACCTTTCAAACCGAGAACCTGCGAAATGCACATACACGAGCAAACCTACACCTCTTGTCAGATAAATAATACATAGGTCCCGTTAAGTATTCAAAATCAGACACCAAAAAAAAAAAATTCACAGCATGCATGCATTCTAACACATAAACCTCAGCAGCCAAAAGCATATCCACTAATCACAGTTACCGGCACCAAAAAACCAAAGAAAATAGTAAGCATCTCCAACTTCCATTCCTGCAACAAACAGAAGCAGCTAGCAAACATCTGCACCTCTCTCAAATATTGCAGTACTGAAGCTGGCTACTGCTGTGTGAAATAGTTATTATGCAGGAGAGGCCGCTGCAGTTCAGAGACGACATACAATACCTCAAGGCAGACAGCAGTGTATAGAAATTCAAATCCCGAGTAAGAGGATTTACCTAGACCGCAGTGCTCTGAATGTTAAAAACTAAGAGGCTCTCTTCTGGAGCTGCAGCTCAAGCCATAATATACCTTGATTTGTGGCCATCTGTAATTGCACGATTATCTACAGCCTATTTTGTCTCCTCTGGAGTCCTTGACTTGCCTCTGATTGTGGAAACAGGTTTGAAGGTAACCTTTCCAAGGCTCAGAAGTACAATGGACTGCACATAAACAGACCTGATGAAAAACACCGGGTCTGGTAGCAAAAAAGAACAGTAATCTGACACGAATTTAGGAAACAATATGTTTTCACTACCAGAATTAACATCAATGCTGCTAACAAATTAGTCCTGTTAGAGTCAAGCACCTGGGTTTTTGTTGTTTCTTTAATCAGCAACGCAAAAAGAACCGTTTTCTTCTTAGTGCGAGATTTCCAGCACTGTCTCTGTTTACATCCAAGCCTGAGACCTCAAAATCGTGATTCCACTCCCTCCTCCTCTCGGGGATGACATTAGCAAGTTTAATAGCTCTCCCTTCTGCATTTATTTAGCAAGCAAGGCAAGCCATCAATTTGAAACCTGACAATTCTCACAGACTTACCATGAAGGAAAGCTCCATCATGACTCAGTAAAATTCTGTCAGGAGATGGCTTTTTTCTGCCTATGTGACCTAGGTGTGATGCCTTAGGTTCCTCAGAGCAGCCTTTGTTCAGAGAAGTAGGACACGGCAAGGCTTGCGTAATCGGCCGTGGCAGAGCGCCAAGGCTCCATTTGCCAGGCGTGTTTGGGGCCAGGGGAGAGGGTCAGGAGAGGACGAGCTACATGTGCCGCTACGTCAGCTCATTGCTCCGCTCTCCAGCGCTTTCTGAATTCAGAAGGAAATTATCTCGTAAGATGAAGGATTGTGTAGTGCAGGCACTCAGTTACTTGTGTCTGACATTCAAAAAATAAAACAACCCTTCAAGACTGAGGAAAATCGTTACATGGACAGGGCAAAAGAAAGCCGCTTGAGGACAGAAAAAATAAAGGTCACAAACACATAAATTAACAGTAGCGTGATCAGCAGAATCTCGTTTTGACTAGCTGGAAGAAGAAAACTCTTTTCAAATAGAAAGATCAGAAAAGCTGCATTTTCACTAGTCAAAAGAAGGCTGTGTTTGAATTCCCTGACCAACATCTCATACAGGGCACCAGTGATTCTCACAAAACTCTCTCAACATGCACACTGCCAGCGCGTTTCATCATTATTTGTGCAACAGCAGAATTTAGCTATTCCTATGATAACAGCCCAAAGGGCCACCAGCAGCAACAAAATGCCCCAGGGAAACAGGGTGACTGGAAGCTTGTCCCCACCGCCGCATGGCCAGGGAGCCGCAACGCCCTGTGCTGGGGTCGTTTCAGGACCTGCAGCTCCCTGCCTCCAGCCCACGCAGCCAGCCAGGCTGACCCGAGAGCACAACTGCATCCTTGTCTGCTACCGGTGGCTACCCAGCCAGCACACGTGGCTAGCTGCTACAGCTTGCCCCCCACGCCAGTCTTCCAGTTACGGCTGCAGCTGATAAACCTGGACCCCAAGGAGAAGGTCCACAAGCAAAGTGCAGCAGCATCAATGCTCATGAGCTGGAATGCTCAACTAAGTATTTCTCTTCTCATGGTTAGGTTACCTCCCCCGGTAAAAATGACACATGATGTCACATGGCACGTGAGCTCAACTTCAGCATTAACTCCTCCTTGTGATCATAGCATTTCTAAAATACATCTACAGCTTTCTTTTATAAGAAAACTCCAAAATGACTCAAAAGACACAAGCAAAACTAAGTAAGAGAGAATGTAGGACAGACATTGTGATCCATGATCCACTGTCAAAACCATTTGCACTAATAACTCTTGGAGTTTGATCACAGTGCCACACAGCCTTAAAAAACTTCCATGTTTTTGCTTCTTGTGTGTGTCCCTCCATCATACACATATGCAAACTCCTAAGGCTAAGAGAGCAATCTCATTCCCAGATGCTGCTTTCCATACACTTTTTATTAAAATAATCTTTTAATTCATTTCATCTTACTTTCCACAAAATGCTTTTTAGGTGAAGTGCCTGAAATCTTAGATATTGACCTTGCAATAGCTAAAGCATTTTTTTGTTTGTTTTTTTTCTACCTAAAAATGTTTCTGGTGGAAATATAGATATAAAACCAGAAATAGGGCAAACTTCCCATAACTATATTTTGACTAGTTAATTTTTCTTTAATAATTAAGAATAAATACATAACATGTTTTTAACATGTTTAAGCTTAAAAATTACTAATCTAAGCACACATGAATAACCAGGTTGTGAAGCAGCACTTGACGCCTTGAAATACAAATGTTCACTTTCATAAATACATTTTTATTTATTGCTAAGAAAAGGAACATAAAAATGAGCAAATGTCTGTAACAACTATGTGTTGGCATACAATTGCTACAGAAGCTAAAATACCATTCATAAAGATAAATATATAGAGACAGAAGAAATGCCTGAATACACGATGGAAGTGTCTGGCTGACTATAAGTACTTTGAGCTGTTCATCTGCCTATCAGTATTTTTTTTTAATATTTCACATATATTCATTTAATTTATCTGTGTTTTCCCAATAAATTAAAATTCTTTTGCAGTCTTTTTCTTAATAGAAGCAGTATGTCTTAACATTATTAGCAAATCAGAATCTTTAGGAAAATAATTTAAAAATAATACCATATTAAAATTGATGACTTACAAGCAAGATCAAAGCACAGGCTTGAAGCAAACTACCAGGATAGCTGTTTTGTGTGTAAATAAGGAGGAAAAAATTCCACAAGTGAAAGAGAGAATCAATATTTCTACTAAAAGGCAGATAATTGAAAACATGAGAAATTTAGTTCTCATTCTTCTAAGTGTTTTGTTGTTGGTCACAGGATCCATCTGCAATACCTAAAAACCAAACAAAATTCACAGTATTCCCAGTGTCCTGTGTAGGAAATGGCAAACAGGAAGGAGGCAACAGGACATGTAGCAAAGTGTGAAAAGTTTAGCACTGTGAGGTCAACCTTAACAGTATGTTGCTGCTATAATCAATAATAAAATCTACACATACACACACCTGACCCATAGTCACTGCCACTTGATTTTGGAATTAATTGTACCTTTCAGATGAATGGGGCAAATTCAGCTTCCATGTATCGCCTCTGAAGGTAACACTGCCCTAACTGTCATGTTACACAAGGACTATTTTCTTTTCGAGCACAAGGGACACTTTTTTTCTTTTAATTCCCTTAAAGTAAGTCTGAAACTTAGTATTTTTCAACAGCCCTAGTGTTCTTGCAAGTTTATGGCCATGGGATAACAGTGCAGTCAAGGATTCTCATAGTAATTTGCAAGTCTTAACTGTAGCAATGTTAAAAACATGCAAAAGCGTAATTGATTTTGAAAAGAGACAGAGAGTTGATTTTATGCTTGTTAAACAGCACTCTAGTAATTATCTTGATCAACATCTTAAAATAGTAAAAATTAATTTTGTGCCTAAATTGCTTACATAAAATATAGATGATTTATGTTAATGCTCTAAAATTGTGAAAAACATGGAAAATATGACCTTTAGACTCCCATCTTCCCCCTTTGCCTGAAGACTCTTACTGACAATGACTCATCTGTTGGCAACAGTTTGTTCTTAGCAATTACAGACTTAACATGAATGTTTAAATACCATCAAAAACATTACGATATTTCAAAGTATATTAATGCCACGTTGGTACAATCTGTGAAATCCAGAACAGTCACAATCGAATACCGGATGAAAACTTACTTCCACTTTCTGCCTCAGTGTTGAATAAGAAGCTCAAACTGGGCTGTGAATCACGTTGTACATTGTCCCAAGAAAGGGTCTGTGTTCAAGGCCAGGCCCTAGCAGGCTGGATCTTAAACTCTGTAAGCAGCTTCTAAAATCCTGGATCCTCTTTAAAAAGGTCCACAAAACCAAAAAAGGCACAAGACAACTGTCTTTTCATTACTGTGGGTTACTTATCTTTCTTTTGTGAAGAAACGAGATACTCGGTCTCAGAGAACGAGACAGACATTCTGCGAAAATATCCTCTTGCACTCTTCTCATCACATTTCTTCCTCCTTTTATTTTTCCCCATGCTCATGCATAACCACTGCACCAGCACTTCGTTTATTCACTAAAGAGCTATTTTCCAACTTGCCTCATATTGTTGTCACTCACAGTCTTAAGGTGTGGGTTTTTTTTTTAAATCTTAACTTGAGAATCATTTAGACTAGCTTTTAAAGAAGCTACTGCCCTGTTTGTTCTACTCAGTCTACTCCTCAGTTGATATATTCTAATATATAAACGGATGCTTTTCAGTCAGTAGTAGTTTGTTCTCAAAGTAGATCAGTCTCTGGACTCTACACAGAAAACAGCTGAAACTGTTTGAGACTGAGTGGATTGCTCCACCAGGTCTTTTCTTTCTTGCTCCTCACTGTTACTCTCTGCTAAGGATTGCAACCTCCACAGCAAAGAAAGCAAACTAGAAACTCCACCTTAGGTTTTTCAGTTGATAATTCTAGAGCAGAGTTTCCGGTTATGTTCTGCGCCAGACAGCTCTACCCTCTCCTTCCCGCTCTCACATTCCTGCCATATCCCTTGCACTGGATCTAGCAACTGGGTAATCTCAAGCTGAGCTGATTCAGACTTCTGATCCACCTCAGTCTGCAAATGGGAAAAAAATATCACTCGATTCAATGCAGCAGAGGGTGCCGAACAATGCAATCAGGATCACAGAGTGGAAAATGAGGCAACCTTTCAGCAACAGCCTGCAGTTATGCTGCTTTAAGGACAACGTGAAACTACCCTTAACACAATCCTCATGTCATGTTTATTTCACCATCCTTTTGAAGATCTTCACTCTGCACCACATCAAGCTCTTCTGGTTGCTGTCATCTGGGTTTTTTTAAAGTGACTTAATCATATTGCAGATAAAAACAATGGAATTTGCATTACAAAAATTTATTTTGGTTTCTAACATTCTTCTTTGGTGGATTTCCCATTCATAGCTGGTGTGCTGAAAACTAAGTTTGGTATACTCAAAATCCTTGTGATAAGTGACCGTTTCATTTCACAAAATTGTGAAGATCAAACACAGTAAATCATTTTGACTGAATTCTCGTAATATGTATTTAAATACTTGATTCAGTGTAGAATTACATATTTCATGGCACAGCAGGAAAAAATTATTTGATTATTATCTCATATTAAAAATCAAAATGCAGAAGTTCCTTCCAGTATTTGATTACAAGTTTACTACCTCCTTGCGAATCTACACTTCTGTTTCATTCCTAAGACTTATTTTAAAATAAAATCAAAATGTACTTCTTCAGCATTTCTTTTATTCCCTATGTATCATGACAGCCGGTGGTAAATCCATGCCAATCGTAAGGAAATAGGACCACTCAAATTCACACATAATCCCTTTCCTAACACAATGACCTACCTCTACCTACCTCCCCTCACTCTTCTTTTGCCATTCATTGCACTGAATCTTTCCTCCTCCTATGCAATATCATCCTCTCTTATCACAATTTCCAACTCTACCTGTCTGTCTAGGTGAAAGCTTGGACTCTGGATTTTTTTTTTTAAAAAAAAAAAAAGAAAAAAGAAGTATGATGAGAAGTGCTTCTCGTTATTACAAATACTGAAAGGAAAAACTGAGATTCACATTCTACTCTCTCACATTTTGGACAATGTGATACTGAGAGCCTCACAAGCGTAACTTCCACAAAAAGGAAGCTACAAGATACTTGAAAACAAAACAATGTTTTCAGTAGCTTTAAGAAGTTAATATGCAGAAATCTGTTTATAAATTATGCTTAATTATAAATCACAAAGTTCTTGGTCCTACAGGTGTATAGGTACACAAAACTCCATTAAAGACCACTTCCTTTTTCCAAGACACACAACCTAAATTCAGAGGTCAGGAAGGAAAGAACATGGGGATCGAGTAGGAACTGGAAGGAGGAAAAAAATGGGCAAGCATGTTGAAGGAGGGAGATAAAATGACAGATTACAATCAGAGATAGAAAAAGAATGCAAGAGTAAAAAAAAATTTAAAGGTGTACAAAAGATACTGAGTACTATATTAACACAAACCATTTCTGACTGACTAGTCAGAAATTGTTGCCTTAGAAGACGACTCTCAAATCACGGAACAAAAGAATGATTAACTGCTAGAAAAGTAGAAACTGTATTTAAAACCTGATATGAGAACATTATTCTGTATAAAAGCTTTCTATTTTTAATAATTTCTCAGAACTTTGTTTACAATAGTGCAGCTACAGGAAAAAAATGAAAAAAATCAACCTCTCCACAACAACAAAAAACAAACCTTGAGACTCCAAGCTGCTAATACTTCTCTTCATTTTTCTCCAACTTTCTGTAGGTCATCAGCCTCCCCCTGAAGTGTACTATTTTAACCAGAGCCCTACACCAAATTTTTGATTGTCTGGGTGTCATCATCAGTGCTTATCTGTAATTGTGTTGGGCTTTTCTAAGTATTTCTTTTCTAAGTATCAACATAGCTCAAAAACTACCCTTACTCCGTCTTTAGACCAAGATACTTCATCCTGAAGCACCCCTATTTCTAAACCAGGTAGCATTTAACTGCTATACACTTAAGCATTCCTTGCAGTTCTAAGATACAACAACTTGTAACAAATGTTAACTCGATTTCAAAGGACTTAAACCTACCTTTAAACTAGACTCATAGTCTGTGTTCACTTTGAACATAAGCCCAAGTCGCAAATGAATTTCCTTGGCTCGACAAAAGCTGGGATCAACATAAAGCGCCTCCTGAAATGCTTTAATTGCCCTGAAAGAAAAACACAGATTAAAAAATTATTTTTAATGAAGTATTACTACATAACCAGTGTTATTTATCTGACTAGTAGAAAACGAATCAGAAAGCACTGTTACAAAAGAATGCATCAAAATAACAGTTTACATGCAATGTTTTTGGTGCATGGATTTCAGTTCTTCAAGGACTGGATAATTGTGTAGTCCAGATATCCTGGTAAATTTGAAAGTCTATTTTCTTCTATTAATTTAGAGAAACTCATTTGCTGCATGAAGTACAGTAACCTATCTTCTACTTCAGAAAGGATGACTCAGGAATGAGTAACAAAATTAGTGCAACTTTACAACAATACAGCGATCACTGATGTCACAACCAACTGCTTAGGTTGCTTTTCATTCCACTTAATGTAGACCCCCGAGAGGGCAGCAAAACAGAAAGCGTAGAAGGAGAGATCGCACACATCTCCTCCCACTGCACCAACTCGCTCTGTTTTCCAGTTTGTCCTCCCTTTCTTAGCACCAGCACCAAGCAAGGACTCAGCTAACACCTCCCCTGCTCCATTACTTTCCAACCAATCAGTTACATCTAGGAAAACACAGGTATGAAATTTTGCCTACCAGCTCCTCCCACTGTAACTTGCTTTTCATATTCCCATGACAGATGAAGATGGCTCTGATTCTACTTCCTTACCTTTAAATCCTCCCTACAC